TTTTAAAAATTAACAGATTTATTAAAACAAAATTAAAAGTTGAAAATCTTATTAGACACAAAATTTAATTTTATGTATAATAACTTTGTTGATTTTAAAAAATTTGGAATATAACAGGAATTTATTAGGCMCATAAGACACRAAATTGAAAGTTTCTCGGGACCTATTAGACATCTTTTTAAAATTTAGGAACCTATTAGATACAAACATGAAAGTTAGAGACTAAATTTGTAATKTAACCTAAAATATATTTTGACATCTTATCATCATTTTATCAGTAAATTTGAAGGTTTGGAAACAATAAATAAATAAATAAATAAATAAATATATATAACCATCTTAATTATATGTGACCTAAAAAACCATCTATGATCTTATCTAAAACTTTTTAAGGACAAACATTCCATTCCAAAAACAAAAAKCTAGGACTTATCCACTCCAAATGTCACATTTATTTGGTACCACCTAACCTCCATGGCCAAACTTTTCAAAGAACTTTTGAAGAACATGACATCTCACAATGACCTAATTCCAAGTTCATTGGAGTAGTTAAAACCTCTTTTAAGTGTCAATATGTCCTCTTGAAATTCCTTAATTTGTAAATAACATCATCAAAATTCTTTGTCATCACTAAGATCTTCTTTTTCTTGTCTTGTCTTAAAAGCCTTTTTGTGTGAGTAAGCTATGGAGTTGGTAAATGCCCTAATTTTCAACATCACTCTATTTGGAAAGTGAACAACACTTGTATTTCTACCATTTTGGCAACAACATCTTGCCTACTTTTGGTGACTATGATAGGAAAAAGGAGGGAGGTAATTTCTAACTTTYTCCTCGAAACCAGAGTATTCAATCTCAATCTGACATGTCTGACACTTTCCTATGTACATGGATTCAACATTGATATAAGAACTGAATCGACTTTCCATAGTATTGCAAATAAATTGACAAATATAAAAAAATATATCATCAAAAATCCCTAATGTGGACATAATATTAATCATAAGGATTTTAAACTTATTTAAAAACGGTGAAATGTTTATTTTTTAATTTTTATAATTTTTTCAKAAATATTCATTGATATAGAAATTTTACAAATATTTCTATAAAATTAAGACCTCCACATTTCCATTAACATTGATAATTTAAACCTRAAGCGAGATTGAAGTTGTTTTTTCTCTTGAAATACTTTCAATATTTGATTATAAGTTTCCGAGGAGTGCCTTTTAATAACAATTTCTTTTCGTTATACTACATTATATTCAAAAAAATATTTTAGGATCAATATGATATTTTAAAAATACTTTTATTTAATATAGATTTATTATTATTATTATTTTTAAAACACTCTAGTTTCTCTAAAATCACTTAAAGAAGTTGTAATAGACCCATTTTAAAATTAGTAATTCTTCCGAAAATACGGATAGAAATAACGATTTCATTTTAAAAGTATTTTTTTCAGAAGTCGTCCCAAACACAATTATTAATATTTTGAGATAAGAGTATTGAAAATAATATATGAAACTAATTGGTCACTTGAATCTAACCAACAAGATTACAAAATTTATTTACCATTTGATGAAGAGAAACTTAGACCACTTTACCTTATATCCAAGACTTGACTGATTATTCTACGACCAACAAAGTCACAAATTTCTACCAAAGTGAGATAGAGAAATTGGAGATTTTATTTATGTAAAAATTAACACCTTGTAACAATTCAAGGGGTCAACTTTTTTTTCTTGGATTAAATTACAGTTCAATCCTTCAACTTTTTCATTTGTGTTTAATAGAGTCCTTAACTTCAACTTTTCCATTAATCCATTAATTTTAGAAATTATCCTTCAAAGAGAGAGAAAAAGAATTCAAAGGATGAAATATCAGTGGCCGCCAGAGCCCGGTGGGTCTTGACTCTTTCTGTTCCATCTCCAGTTAGCCGCGGCGGCGCGTGAGCGACGAACGGGAGAAGAGGGAAATGGCGAGAAGAGAAACAGTGAAGAAGGCGGAGGACCTGGTGGAGATGGCGATGGGCGGGAACGACGCGTCGCACGATCCTTCTCACGTCTGGAGAGTTCGAGACCTTGCTCTCTCTCTGGCTGAAGAAGAAGGCCTCTCTTCCAGCATCGACTCCATGGAAATCGTAAGCTCGTTCCATGGAAACTCGTACTTCGATTTCTGTTTCCTGCCATTTCTGCAACATTCATGTGATTTTTTTGGTTTTGATTTTAAATTTTAGATGTTAATCGCTCTAATTTTTGTGCATTTTCGCTGTTTGCCCTAGATTTTCTCGGAAAATAAACATTTACTGGTGATTGAGAATGTTAGATTAATTATTTATCGCGGAATCTTTCTGATTGCCAGTTGGTGATTTTGGCAGGTCGAACTTGCTGCGCTCCTTCATGATATAGGTATTCTTTTGTTATCCTTATCTATCTATTTKGGCTACAGAACAAGGTCGATGCCAGCTTGCTTAATACTACGCCTAGTTTCATACTACTTGCAACTTCTGATCAAGACAATTCTTAGGTTTTTATCTTATCTAGAAATCTTAATTTGCCTCCTGGAATCTATTTTAGAGCTTGGCTCTCTTTGCATTGGTAAGAACTAAGAATCTTAAAGTGGAAAAAATAAAGAACAAAGGAAGAAAGAAGGAAAAAATAGTGCCTGGTTACTTATAACTTGTAAGCAACAATGTGCAACCATGAACAATGTGAACTTCGTTTGGTGTTTGCATTTTCAATCCATTAATCTTGCAGATGACTCAATTTTAATGCTTTGTTTTCTTCCTTTGATATTATCATTTTTTGATCGTCACTGACTAGTCAGTTACTGCTTGTTTGGCACCTTGCAGGAGATTACAAGTACTTGAGGTTTGTTTGTCTCTCTCGATTTTTGCATATATTGAGGACAATAATGGCTCTTTCATGACTTCATACGTTGGTTTGCTTTCGCTCTTATCTGTTAGTGAATCTTCTTCTGTGCAGAGACCCAGCTGAGGAAAAAATTGTGGAGAATTTTCTTGAGGAAGAGGGAATAGAGGAGAACAAGAAACAAAGGATATTAGCAATCATAAAGGGCATGGGTTGGTATCTTTTATGCTTCAATGTTGTGGAACACTTTGATTTTACATGTAGTTTTAATATTTCTGTATTTAGAGCTCGTTGTTTGTTACCTATAGTAATAGTTTTAAGTTTTAACATAACCGGCGCTGGTGCTCAACTCAAATCTTCCCTTGCAACTGGTTGTAAAGAGTTCTGGTGCTCTATTTTATTATAGATTATACTTATTATAGAAGTTATGCAAAAAGTTTAATGCACAAATCTACCTTTTCCCTCCCTTTTCATAGACGAGAAATTGTTTTACACTCAACTCAAATTGTACTCTTTGTGATATCAAATGCATTATTTTGATTTATTGTTTTCATGCTTACAGAGGGTTTTTGTGAGAGTCCTATTAGAGGTATTGGGGGAATATTGTTTTCATGCTTACAAGATAACTATATTGTATCTTGGTTCGTTTAGTATATTCGGGTTCCTAACAAATTGGACCAGCGTTTAGTATTTTGGTTCGTTTTGTTAGGAACCTGAATATACTAAACGAACCAAGATAACTATATTGCAATATCAAAGAGAAATTACAATATCAATAGCTTTTTGAGTCTCTCCCAAGAACTCTCTCAAGTTCCTCACCTTAAACTATTCTTCAAGATATTCTCCTTCTCCCCTACTACCCCTATTTATATCCATCTTACCCCTAACTAATTACGATACTACCCCTTCATTAACATATTAACAATATTCCCYCTATACCACTAATAGGACTCTCACAGTTCTTTTTTGTTTTTGTTTGGGGGTGGGGATCTCGAATTTTGAGGTCAGGGAATGTCCTATATATTCCTTGGTACATGCATTTTGTAAGAAAATGAAGTATAACTTTTTTTTTTTGAGTTCATCAGTTGCCAGGTGGGGAATTGAATGTATGGCCTGGACACTTGTGGATATAAAAGAAAAGAAAATTAAGCGTTTGAAGGAGTTCTCTGTCTGTGCGTACTGTTATAATTATAATTTTTACACTGTTTGAAAACTGGGTATCTCTGTTTGGTGATCACTTGCTACACTGAATTCCTTTCATTATACAAAGTGTAGTTTGCAAAATACTAATTTTCCACCTCATGTATGTTGTGTCTGACATCCAGGCTTCAAGGAAGAGATTGCCGGGCTTTCAAAAGCTGAATATTCTCCGGAGTTTGGGGTGGTTCAAGATGCTGATCGTCTAGATGCAATTGGTGCTATTGGTAGTTTGCTTTTACATCATGTCAATTTAAAACACTTCTAGTCTCATCCTTGAAACCATTTCCATGTTGTGTGCAAGCCTTCTCAGTTTTCCTTCCCCTTCAGGAATTGCCCGATGCTTCACTTTTGGTGGAAGCAAGAAGCGAGTGCTGCACGATCCTGCAATTCGTCCTCGAACGAGTTTATCAAAACAAGAGTACATGAACAAAGACGAGCAGACTACCGTGAACCACTTTCACGAGAAGCTATTGAAAATAAAGGATTTGATGAAAACAAAGGTAGAAGTTATGGAATATTTAATGTGGCTTTCTTATACTTTGCTCTTCCTTATTTCATCCATTTGTCTTCTTGTGCCTTATAACTGAAAGAAAGATTGCTCTGAAGTTTGATCACAAAGGTTTGGGCACGAATTTCAGGCTGGACAAAGGAGGGCAGAGAAAAGGCACAAATTCATGGAGGAATTTCTGAAGGAATTTTATGATGAATGGGATGGAAAAGCTTGATTGATATATTTTTTTTTTGGGTCAAGATTTCATCCTAAGAAAACTACAAACCGTACTCTCCATATTTGTCAAGATGCAGTGTATTCAAGCCACCCAATTCCAATGATATTATTTGAAGAATATAACTAGTTTCAACCTGAACTCATACTAGGGGCTAGGGGCGTTCAAAAAACCCGATGCCATGCAAATCCRATCAGCCTAGCCCAACCCAACCCAACCTATACGGTTTGGATTAGGTTAGAAATCATAAATGTACCATAAGCATATTGTGTTTAAATTTATTTGATGAAAATGAGATTTGTGAAGAGCTATTTGGAGGTTTATTTGTTTATTATCCTAATTTTTATAAAAATGATGGGTTTATGTGACATTTCAAAAGACAACTGCATTACTCTCAGTTGGATATGTGGGATGTTRAATCCTTGCTATAGTAGGATATTAAGTCTTAGATGGCTATCTTGATTTGAATCCCATTTTATTTAAGCCATTTACTATTTATATGGATGACCAATGGGCTAAGCCAACGTACAATAACAATTATTCTAATTTGATATTAAAAGTTAAAATTTATAACATTTTGTTACTTATGGGAAAAAACACGAAAAAAAATCCTCCAACATCCCTTCTCCCTTTTTAAAAGGTTTGGTTTGAATCGAGTGCCCCATTTAGACACTAAAAAAAAGTCCATCATTGATTTGAAAATTTGAAATATTGATAAGGTGAATATTTCAATCTATTCAATGCTAGATATAATGAGTGTTAGGACCTCAAAAAAAATTAGATTAAAATACTATTTTAGTCACCGTGCTTGGTTCATTTTAGTCCTCGTACTTCGAAAGTATTCATTTTAGTCCCTGTACTTTGAAAATGTTCATTTTGGTCTCTGTATTTTTTAAAAGTTATCATTTTAGTCCAATTTTGTAAAATTTTAACACAAATTCTACACCAAGCGAAAACTCTTTAATATAAAGTAATGTTTACATTTTAAGAAATATGTCAATTTTAGTGTCGTGTTGAAATTATGATAGGAAAAAAAAATAGAGATTAAGAATAAAATTAAGGAACCAAAATGGTCATTTTAAAAGTACAGGACCAAAATGAACATTTTAAAAGTACATAAACTTAAATGGACTAAAGTTGAATATASAGGGACCAAAACATACATTTTGAAAGTATAGGGGCCAAAATGAACAAAAATTGAAAGTACAAGGACCAACCTAACATTTTAACCAAAAAGTTATCTTTAATCCTATCTTATGAACAACTTTAAGGTGTATGAAATTTCATATTTTGCTCATTTTAGTCTTTTTACTTTCAACTTCTATTTATTTCAATCATTTATTTTCAAAACGTCTATTTAGGTCCTTGTACTTTTAAAAAAAATGACCAATTTGATATCTATTTGCAAAATTATCACACAAATTTATCAATGGAAACATTTTAATATAAATTTATGGCTACAATTACAAGAAATTTAGTGACAGGTCATGCTAAAAGTCTAAAATTAAGATTAAAAAAATAAGAAAAGAAAGGTTAAAAAACTCTTTTGGTCATTGTACTTTCATCGAAGGGATAATTTAGTTTGAACTTTAGTTTGTAACAATTTAATCAATGTATTTTCAAATTGATAACAATTTAGTCTTTAAACTTTAATATGTAAAATTCAGTCCGTGTAGTTTGAAAATTGTAACAATTTAGTCCCAATCCTGAAAAATCTCATTGAAATTAAGTATTGATTCTTTTTATATAATAATTTAGTATTTGTAATTTATAAACACATTTGGTSATTCGATCAACACACATATAAGAAATCCTATCAAATCTTAACAATATTTTTCATGACAAAACTAAATCGTTACAAACTTTAGACTATATGGACTAAATCGTTACATATTAAAATTTAGGAACTAAATTGTTAACAATTTAAAATTATAGAGGTTTGATCGTTACCAACTAAAGTTGAGAGATAAGATYGTTACTTCAATGAAAATACATAGACCACAAATATTWCTTTTATTTAAACTTAAAAGATAAAAAGTGAAGGAAAAAAATAGTCGCTTTTTTATAAGGAATATTTTGAAAGTATAGATAAAAGCTCGAAATATATACACCAAAATAACATTTAAACAAAGAAAARAGAAATACTTTTTTCTATAAGTGGTTTAGTGGTGCAATCAATAAGTCGTCTTGTGTTAATTAAGTTAATTATATCTTTAGACTAAGAGAGTCGTGATTTATTATGTCTGCTTCTTCCATACTTCCTTTCGATTCGTCACGAACTTGAGTGGGAACTAGAAGACAAATCACTCGTGTCCTATTGTCAAAATTATTATTACATTTAAGAAAATGAAAAATTTATCACGTTAATTTGAGTATAATTTAATTAATAATCTTTTTAAAGGTTGGAAGGTGTGAATCTCGGCCTCTTATTTTTTATATATTTTTATAATTCTATATATATATATAGTAATAAATTAATAAAATAGTATTTCAAAAATTTAATTAATTAGAATAAAATTAAAATAAAGGGCAACGCAAGAGCATATGATCAGTGAGTTATTATGCACTCTTTCAAGAGTGGTGGGTTCTTACCAAAGTTTCGAGTTTTGCATTTTATCTAGCTAGTTTTCTTTTTCTTGTTTTYTTTCTTTATCTGAAAAGCATTTTATCTGACTTTTAGTTTAGTTTATTACGTGGGCACCCGTAACTGTTTCTAAATAGAAAATAAACAAATTTATTGACCAATATATATAATAAACTATACATTTCGAGATCATTTAAATAAATTTTAAGTATCATTTATGTTGGGGGAATTAYAAATAACAGAGGTAAATGAAGTATATATCGACAAACAAACACGTAATTAATTAAGTTGAGGCGCAGGTATCTCACTCTCTTTTAGGAGATTCAAGCCCTATGCGGTGTGTATTTCTTTATCAACCATTGGTGCAGCAGGTATTCTCTGGCTTGTCCCMTCCARGATACAACAACCAAACTGAAACGTTGTGTAGCTCAAACCACCATGCAACTAGAGGTTAAGCTCAAAGCTCYACAACAAAGAACACCCCTTTTTTGGCCAATCGCTCTTAAAAGAACAAAGTAGAGAAAGTAACAAATATAGAAGATATGTTGAATGTGTTGTTTTTTTGAGAGTTTAGGAAGAGAGATATTTATAGGAAACTTGCMTGTAGTAACTTAATAGAAAATCTAATAAGTTTCATTAAACTTCTTTTAAAATACGTTTTACAAAATTTGATAAAACCTCTCAATCCTTAAACTCTCAAATTAAGTAAAAAGAAACTCATATTTAAATAAATACTAAAATGTAACAACATTCCCCCACTTATTTTAATATTTAAAAAACTCAAAACCAATTAGCCAAAAGAAAGATAATTATGCATCATAAAGGTATCATAAAGGTGTGACTATGCATTAGACCCTTTACTAGTGAAATAATAATCTCTACTCCAGCATTAATACTTGTCTCCGACTTGAACTCTAATGCTAAAGGGAAAGAAAGAATTATTATCCACACATAATTATCCAGGTGTTAGAAATGAGCTTTAATGTTTAGCACTTTAAGGCCTTGTGCTGATCCCAGTATTTCGTGAGTGTATTTTGAGGATAAGTCCTATATCCTCATAGAGAGCGGCTTCACTCCCACAYTCATATAGGTAAAATCTGTCAAGGGTGCTCCTATAACAGTGACACCCCACTCATAAGAGCTACATGCTTTATTAAGAGTTTATTGAAAAACTCAATCCTCCAAAACATTGTAGGATTATGCACCACATCATAGGGATGGATCAAAATATATAAATAATGCATTTTTACGGCCACCTTATAGTTCGTTTTTCCCATTGAACCTAGTTCTCAGAATCTCTGATCACTAGGTGGGTATCCTTATATATGGCTCATGACAATGATAAGGGCTTCAACCCCATCCCCTCAATGTGTCCCAGACCTTTTCTCTAGTCAAGGCTTTTGTCAATGGATCTGCAAGATTATCACAAGATTTAATGTAATTCACATTAATAATTCCATTGCTCAAATAAGATCTCACAGTATTGTGTTTTCTTCTTATAGGTCTGGATTTACCGTTATAAAAACGGTTTTTTACTCTACCAATTGTAGCAGTGCTATCACAATTAATTAAAATTGGAGGTATTGGTTTCTCCCACATTGGAATCTCATATAACAAATCTCTTAGCCAACTTACTTCCTCACTAGCTGAAGCTAAAGCAATAAGTTTTGCTTCCATGGTAGAGTTGGAAATAATTGTTTGTTTTTTAGATTTCCAACAAATAGCGCTACCTCCCAWGGTAAATATATACCCAGTAGTAGTAGATAGAGAATCACGTAACAAAGTATTCCAGTCAGCATCARAAAATCCTTCAACAACAGCAGTATATTAACGTTCGATGGCATGCCAATGCTCTTTACCTGGCTTACTTGTAAATYTGCTAAGAACTCCTACTGCGTATGCAATGTCAGGTTTCGTGCAATCAGTTGCATACCGCAGGCTACCAATCACACTTGCATACTCCTTTTGATTTATTACATCACTTTCACTTTCAATGGGAAACAAGTGAACACTTAAATCAAAAGGAGTGGACACATGTTTACAATCAAAATAATTATACTTTGTAAGTATTTTCTCAATATAATGTGATTGGTCAAGAAAAAACCCATTAGAGGTTTTAGTTATTTTCATAACCAGAATGAAATTAGCCTCACCGAGATCTTTCATGTCAAAATGGCTCCACAATAAATTTTTTGTTTCATTTATGACAATAATATTTGRGCAAAAAATTAGTAGATCATCAACATAGAGCCTAATAATAACGTGTGAATCTTCCCATGATTTGCAATATATGCATTTATCACATTCATTTGGTTTATAACCATTATTTAGCATACATGAATCAAATTTGTCATGCCACTGCTTTGGGGCTTATTTTAAGTATGATTTAGTAAGCTTACACACTTTGTTCTCATTTCCAGGTTCTATAAAACCTTCAGGTTGGTCCATATAAATTTCTTCTTCTAAATCACCATTTAGAAAAGCTGTTTTCACATCTATTTAATGAATGCTCAAATTAAAAATTGCAGCAATTGCTATTAGCAATCTAATGGATGTGATTCTAGTAACCGGGGAAAAGGTATCAAAAAGGTCTATATCTTCTTTGTGTTAAAAAYCTTTTGCGACAAGTCGAGCTTTATATTTGTCTATACTACCATCCGGTTTCAGCTTTTTTCTTAGGACCCATTTACACCCTATGATTTTACAACCAGGTGGTAAATTAACTAATTTCCAAGTTTT